GAGAGAGAGAGAGAGGAAATCGAAGATTAGATGTTAGATTAAGTAGACTATGTTATATAGACTACGAGTGAATGTGTGGGTGTATCTGTGTGCGCGTAGATAGAACAAGTAGAATAAGTAGCGGTAATGTAATCTTGAGTTAGAATGAAATACTCTTAAGTTAATTTTAAATTAAATGTAGCATTATAAAAAAAGACGGAAATCATTAATCTTCAGGATATTAATAAAACTTATCTAATCTAATCTAAAAATGATAAGTAAATTATACCGAATGCAAGCACGTACATATATCCATCGCATAGTTATGCACAACACACGTACAGACACAATTGCCAAGTTTCATTTTAAATATTTAAATGAGAAAAAAAAACGGTCACAATTGAGAATTTTGTGCGGATTTTGAAAAATGTATGTGCCGCGAAATATGTCATTTGTAACACAAGTTCTGAGTAATACTGATGAATAAAGCGTTTATGTCATTTTATGTACGTAGAATATCCCCACTATTTTTCAATTCGAGGTTGCGACTCGCTTAATGATCGAATTGTTTTCTTTCACAAAAAATTTTTTTTCTTCCTTATAATTAGCAAATTGCCATTATTATATAAAAGTTGCCAGCGGCTGAATTAATTGTAATTACTGTAACGGTATAATTTACAAGTTTTATAACTCCTGTACGATTCAGCACGCGAAGACAGAAAATGAGAGTTAAATTGATGTAATATTTCAGATTCCTCTAGATAGAACATGCGCGGATGCGTTCATAGAGCCTCATTGGTGTGCTTGTCTCGGTTGGAAAGAAGTCTCAATTGACGACACAAATGTTGTGGCTGCTGCCAATTACTTTGTTCAATTTCTTAATGGTTACACCGAAGATCATCATAACATATGCGCGATTTTACATTTGGATGAGATTTTATGGGCTGCTAAACTCATACCTACTAAAGGTATAATAAAATATGATGACCGATGACTTCTAATTTATCGAGTCATTCATAGAGAAAATTAATGCCTCTATAACTTTTTTCAGGCTTGCTTAATTTCCAAAAATCTGGAGATCAGGACGGTTTTATAGGTGATTTCAGTGCCAAAACCAAAGTGACGGCTGACATTTATCAATTAAAAGTGAGAACGGTGCCGGGTGATGCGTTATTCGAAGTTAGCATCACTCAGGATCTTACGAAGAATACTTTCTATACGAAGGTAAGTCCAAAGAAATGGCTTATCTATTTCTGTTAATGTAAATTAACTTTAATCTTGGCTTAATTTACTTTTCACTCTTTGTCGTAAAAATTAGAAAAAGATAAAAGATTAATTAAACTGACATTAACATTAATTTATTGGTAGAAATAAATATCAAAAAACGCAAATATTTCGCGATGATGAATGTCATTATCTTGTTACAGATCTCCGATGTTAGCAGAATAAATATGTATGGATCTCAGGCAAGATGTGTGGAAAATTCGCTGTTTCATTTACGCAAATATTGTTATTGCAAGGGATAAGTGATACTAAAAATATGATAGCTTTCATATTGTATATATAAGCATGCATCAAGACATCAAAGGAAGTTTTGATCTTAGCGTGAGGAATGTTGTTTAACTTTAAACAAAAGTGCTGTGATTCATATTATTTTTATTTCTTACACATACTAGACTGGTTTATTTTTAATTAAAATTATTAATTATTTACTGCCGAAGATAATTTTTAATTAGAAATATCAATAGTACATATCATTCCTAAGAAAATTCTCATATTTATTACAGACGACAACGATACAATCTATGATAAACACATAAAATATTTTTATATGTTTGAAAGATTCATTGATTATTTTTGCTTTATAATATCGTTATTATAATATCATTCGAGACTATTATCCATAATGACAATGTATATATACACAGAGCGTCTTCGGATTTTTCAAACTTTAACTTAACGATATGTTTTATGAATTGAAATAAGAAAAAAAATATTATATAAAGTAGATGGCTCTAAAATTGATTCTAGAACGCTTTAAAAAGTTATAGCAAAAATATAAAATCTGCAAGAAATAATTTTTCATTTCTAAAATATTTCTTCTATTTTTGTTATAACTCTTTAATAAAGTATTAGAACCTACGTTTGATATTTTAATATTTTTATATAATATTTTTTCTTTTTTCAGCTTAAAAATATACTATCAAAGTTTGTACGGAAAGTCCGAGAGTAATCTGTATATACATTAATAATATATAATCGCGAATAAAAATTCATATAAATGATAATCTTTGGCAATCAGTCATAATCTTCGAATTATCGAATCTTCGAATTATCGAATCTCTAAGAAATGTAAGCATTTCCAAACACTTTTTTTATTTAAAATTAATGTGCCAACAAATTGTAATAGTAATTGTGATTATAATGACTTCAAATTTTTCGAACATTCTATTACAAATTTCTATTACAAATTTTTTTAAATAAATTATTTAATAACTATTTTAATTTTTCTGATTAGCAGTAAATATAATATTGTATAATTAGTAACAATAGTATGATGAGGAAGATTTTTTGTATTGTAAAGGAAAGGAAATTCGTAATATATACAAGTAATCTACAATGATTGTCATCTCAAAGTTATAATACTCTATATAAAAATATAATTAATTACTAGTCATATCTAAGTCATAAGAATGGGCTAAAATATGTTCAAGATATCTCTTTTCATGACAGCAGAAAGCTTTAAAAGTAGATATTTTATAGAGTATGCAAATGCTTTCATTACTATATACCTACATTTAATACATCTTCATAAATAGAACAGATTACTACGATCTTTATATAAAAATCTTACAAGTGTCACACACTTATATATTTATATATTTCTGAATTTTAATATGATCATAAATATAATGTGATTTTTGTGAATCTTGATATATTTTTCAAAAAATTATCTATTTGATATGACTAAAGAGTAAATAATAATTAATAGTTAAGTAAAATAATATTATGTGCGAAAAAAGAACTGAATTGTAATTTCACTAACGGAATACAAATTCCATAAATAAATTCCATAAATGTCAGTTTAATATTACAAATGAACATTTCTTGTATAATGAGTCTTTTTATAATTTTTATGATAAATAAAACAATCTATATTTATGTTTATAAAAATTATATACACATATAAAATACATGGTAATATTATAATTAAAAAATTCTTTCTATACAATAAGAACATTATATTCAATTAGATGATACAGAAAATGCGAGAAACGTATTAAGTTCATTTTACAATTGAATAAATTATCTTATAAAATAAGAAATAAATAATTATTGCTTATTGCTACAAATTATTTTATGAATATAGAATTTAAACTAGAATATATTAAAATTTCTGATTAGAGTTAATGAAATATATCAATGTATTATATATAAAGTATTCAGATTAATCTGCAGGACAATATCCTCCATATTGATGTATAAAAGTTATGATTTCACGAGAATTGTCATCTATCAGTAAGAATGCAATATTTTGTCGATTGTCGGAATTAGATGGGAAATAATCTTGGCCTTTACTATCCTTAGCAACTACTTCTAATACTATAGTATTCACAAATAAATCATTTGTGATATTCTGTTTTTGCACTCTGAAAGAAATACAGCCATAAAATTTTCGTATTATTTAATTTGTATTAAAGTAAAGCATTAATTTCGATTTTTTTGATAATCACCTTACGAGATCTTTATAGATACTTTTGGTAACATTCAAATATGGCTGTAATACATCTTCAAATTGGCATAACACTCCACCAAGAACAAGCATTTGAAAAATTCGAAACACGAACTCATTTCTTTCCTCTTCTGAATATAGATTGTATTCTTCTGATTCTTCATCTAAAA